GGCGCCGGCCCGGGAGTGTGCTCTCTTGCTCGTTTGTGCTCTCTCCTGGCCCCTCTGGCTCTCAAATAAATCAAGAGATCATGACAAATGGTGATACATAAAGCCATGACATTTGATGACATTTTGTTTTTTGGCGGGGAGGGGAGTCAGGGAAATAAACCGAAGTATGTTAAATTAAAATGATTTTCTCAACTTTAAGGCTGTCCTCCTTCTGTCACTTCACTCCATCCAGGTTGAAGACCCAGCATCTGCCTCTAAAATCTATTTGGTTTTGCACACACACACACACACACACACACACACTCGGGACTGGGGAAGAATGTTTTTACAGCACATTTCCACCGAGGAGGTCCAGCTGGGTGGGGGAAGGGGACAAGAGGTCACATCTGCAGTTCCCCAGGTCCAGGAGCCAGGTCTGGCACATAGTAGGTGAATAGGGACCAGAAGAAGTTAAGTGCATTGGCCTGGCAGCTCCAAGCAGCTTTTAGAGTAGCGTCCTATGTGGGCAAGGCTGCTGACCCCCACACCACCCGGTGGGCCAGGACTCACAACAGGGGCGTTGCGGAAACCCTTGATGGCCTGGAAGACTCCGCCGCCGATGACACCCATGGTGAAGGCTCCACCGCAATCATCCACAATTCGCCATGGGCTGAAAAACCGGAAGGGAAGGTTGGGGTTAATGGGAGCCCCTCCCCTCCCTGGACTCTCTCCAAGTGGGAGAAACCAGTCACTGGAATGGCAAGTTTGTGAGTGAGAAGAAACACTTCAGATAACAACGAGCTAGTTCTGTCATTCTTTTTCCCTGATGAAATCGAGAAATGGGGCAAAAGGGGAAAAATAATAGTCTCTGCCTTGATCACCTTTTGCAGGCATCCAAGGAATCAGCCAATTACTTTACTAGCAAATATTAAATGAACTGAGGCATGTAGAGTTGGCGCATTTCAGTAAGGGTTACGGAAGTGTTAACTGGCTAGTTATTAAAAACGAGGTGACAGCCCCTTCTGGGACAGTGGCATCCAACCAAGCCTTGTCCCCTCCTCCTCTTAAACCAAGCACAACTGAGAAAAACCCAGAGGCCCGTTGGGAAAATCCAGCACCCCTCCTCACCCACAATAGGTTCACGCATGCCCCGCCCCGATTCACACAAGCGACCTGGGAAAAACCATGCGTGCCACCCTCCACCCACGCTGGAATGGACTGGACCAGCGTCTCTGCTCGCTAACAAAGAGGAACAGGAGCCACAAAGCCAGGGACAACATGGCGTGGTTCGTCCTGTACCGCCCCTTCTCTGGGCACACAGTTGTGGCCCCTTTTAAAGAACCCCGAAAGGAAGGAAGTACAGGGAGCGGAAGGCGAGAAGATTCTAAGTCTCCCTAATCTGGGACGCCGCACTGTGCGGCCGGTGCCTCCCCCGCCCGCCTCCCATGGCTGGTCTTGGGGCAGCAACAGTCCCGATGCCTGTGCCCATCGCCGTACCAAGGCTCCCGAGCATACTCCTCCATGGCGCCGGCGTCTGGAGGCACAGTCAGGCCCGAATCCTGTGGGCCACGCCCCCAGTGGAAACGCACCACAGGCGCTCTAGCTCTTCGCCTATCCCAGGACAGCGATTGGGTGGCTTCGCCACGTCAAACGCAGGACGCTTCTCATTGGACACCCAGGATAACGTCATCTTTCCACTGCAGTCCCAGCGTCTTCCAGTTACGTCTTGGCTCGGGTATTGAGTACGCCGTTGTGTGCTTTGGGGGAAACGAGTGGTGTGGTCCTGGTGATCAGAGCAGTGGCGAGAGGAAGGAGGCTGTTCTTTCTACCTGCCCGACTGTACTGGTAACGCGGGGAGGGGGAGGGGGGCATGGTTTTGCAGAGCTGGAGGAAGGGCTGCATTCCGCTCCCCCACCCCAGGGCTTTGGTTTTTCCCACCCAGCAGTCTTTGAGGGAGGTTGGGTGAGCCAGTTTCTGAAGCTGCGCTTGGCGCCTTTGGCGGTGGGTGGAGCCCGGGAGAGGAAGTGGATCCTGGAGCTCCGGGCCTAGTAAGTGAGCGGCTGGAAGGAGTTTTGTGACATTTGCAAGCCTCTTGTCTCTCGTGTTTTAGCGCATAGGTTGAGTCCGCCCAGCTAGCTCCTGGTGTATTTGGGAAGGTGAGAGTCCGATGAGTACATGCTACGGGAGGGATGAGCTCTGGGTTATGGGATCCAGATTTGAATCCTCATCAGTCTGTCTGTCCCCAGATCTGTCACCCGCTATGCCGCTGCCCGTCGCGCTGCAGACTCGCTTGGCTAAGAGAGGCATCCTCAAACATCTGGAGCCTGGTAAGAGAGCTAAGAGCAGATGGGCGTATCATGTATCAAGCCTGATAGGCCCTTTTTTCATTGATATGGACACTAAACACTCAGCGTGGACCTTCTGTGCTCTAAGCCGTGGCATGGCAAGGATTCCTGATGTCCATTCCTTTTGCAAACCATGCAATGTGTGTGTTTGTGGGGGGAGGGGGAGGTTGAAAAGATGCATATTTCATTCTTAACAATACACAACACTGATGCAAATTTCGGGCCTCCACGAATCACATGGAGGTAAATGCATAGTATTTAATAGGCTATGTGTCAAGTCCAGGATGTTGTTGTTTTTTTCGACTTACTCATTTGGGGCTGGTGCTGTGGTGTAGCGGGTAAAGCTGCCATCTGCAGTGCCGGCTTCCCAAATGGGCTGGTTCAAGTGCAGCCTGTTCCATTTCCAATCCAGCTCTCTGCTGAGGCCTGGGAAAATAGTGGAAGATGGCCCAAGTCCTTGGGCCCCTGCACCCGTGTGGGAGACTGGAAAGAAGCTCCTGGCTCCTGGTTTTGGATCAGCGCAGCTCTGGCCATTGTGGCCATCTGGGGAGTGAACCAGCAGATGGAAGACCTCTGTCTCTCTCTCTCTCTCTTTCTGCCTCTGTGTATCTCTCTCTCTGCCTCTGCCTCTCTGTAACTCTGACTCAAATAAAAATCTTTTTTTTTTTTTTTTGACAGGCAGAGTGGACAGTGAGAGAGAGACAGAGAGAAAGGTCTTCCTTTGCCGTTGGTTCACCCTCCAATGGCCGCCATGGCCGGCACGCTGCGGCCTGCGCACCGCTCCGATCCGATGGCAGGAGCCAGGCGCTCCTCCTGGTCTCCCATGGGGTGCAGGGCCCAAGGACTTGGGCCATCCTCCACTGCCTTCCTGGGCCACAGCAGAGAGCTGGCCTGGAAGAGGGGCAACCGGGACAGAATCCGGCGCCCCGACCGGGACTAGAACCCGGTGTGCCGGCGCCGCTAGGTGGAGGATTAGCCTATTGAGCCGCGGCGCCGGCCTCAAATAAAAATCTTTTAAAAATATTTTAAAGAAAAGATTTATTTATTTGAAAGGTAGAGTTACAGAAAGGCAGAGAGAGAGAGAAAACTCTTCAATCCTCTGGTTCACTCCCCAAATGGCTGCAATGGCTGGAGCCGTGCCCATCCAAAGCCAAGAACCAGGAGCTTCTTCCTGGTCTCCTGTACGAGTGCAGGGGCCCAAGGACTTGGGCCATCTTCTGCTTTCCCAGCCCACAGCAGAGAGCTAGATGAAAAGTGGAACAACAAGGACTCGAACTGGCACCCATATGGGATGCCGTTGCTGCAGGTGGATGCTTAACAAAGTTGCAGGCAGATGATTAACCTACTTTGTCACAATATCAGGCCCCAGGATGTTGCTTTTGTTTACCATACTGATAGAATGTATTTTAGAAGTGCTGTGTTGGAAACAGAGTTAACATGTATTTTAGACCACCCAAAATGCCTGAAATGCACATGATGGTTAGCACTGAGGGTGTTTCCAAAAGTTTGTGGAAAAATGAAAAGGTGAGTTTAGGGACAGCTGTTTGGCTTAGTGGTTAAGCCAGTTGTCAGGGTACCTAGCAGGTGCCTAGGTTCAGTTTCCAGCTCTGGCTCCTGCCTTGAGCTTCCTGTTAATGCAGACCCCCAGGAGGCAGGGTGATGGCTCAAGTAATGGGTTTCCTGCCACCCACATGGAAGACCTGGTTTGACTTCCTGGCTCCCAGGATCAGCCTCACTGCTGGGCACTTGGGGAGTGAACCAGAGGGTAGGAGTGCTCTCATGCTCATTCTCTCTCTCAAGTAGATAAGTAAATATTTTAAAAAGTAAGTTTAACTTGGTGCAAAAGAAATTAAATCTGTGCATAGTTTTTCCATAATATGTATTTTTCATGAACTTTTTATATAAAATGACAGGATTTCTTATATAGGCTTATTATATTGCTGGCTGCTAATTCCACCTACTATCACTAATAGAAAAGCTGGCATCTATTTTGGGCTATAGTGTGCTAGGCACTAGAAACTACATCTATTGTCACCTTATTGATGACCGATGTCTATTACAAACCTAGTGTGCTAGAAGGCAGGCTTTTGGCCTAGCACTTGAAATGCTGCTCAGGATGCTCACATTCATATCAGAGTGTCTGGGTCTGATGAGCCCCAGGTCTGCTCCTAGTCCAGCTTCTTGCAGACATGCACCCCGGGAGGCAGCAGGTGATGGCTTAAGTACTTGGGTCCCTGATACCCTCATGGGAGACACAGATTGAGTTCTGGGCTTTGGCCTTTTGTAGGCATTTGGGGAGTGAACCAGTGGATGGCTGTCTCCCTCTCCCTATTTCTCTGCCTCTCAAATAAATAAAAAAAAAATTAGTAGTAATTAAAAAAATACCCTAGTGTGGCTGGCTTAGACCTTGTGGTTAATCATACTGGTAATGACCGTTGGTACTATTTTTTTTTAAGATTTATTTATATGAAAGGCAGTTAGACAGAGACAGATCTTCTATCTGCTGGTTCACTCCCCAAATGGCTACAATGGCCAGGGTTGGGCCATGCTGATGCCAGGAGCCAGGAGCTTCTTCCGGGTCTCCCACCTGGGTGGTAGAGGCCCAAGGATTTGGACCATCTTTCACTGCTTTTCCAGGTGCATTAGCAGGTAGCTGGATCAGAAGTGGAACAGCCAGGACTCAAACTGGCACCCTTGTTGAATGCTGGCACTGCAGGCAGCGGCTTATTGCCACAGCACCAGCCCCCATTGATAGTTTTTTTTTTTTTTTAGATTATTTATTTGAAAGGCAGAGTTACAGAAAGGCAGAGAGAGAGGTCTTTCATCTGCTGGTTCACTCCCACATGGGTGCAGGAGCCCAAGGACTTGGGCCATCTTCTACTGCTTTCCCAGCCCATAGCACAGAGCTGGATTGGAAGTGGAGCAGCCAGGAGTTGAACCGTTGGCTCATATGGGATGCCGGCATTGTAGGCGGAGGCTTTACCTGCTACAGCACAGTGCCGGCCCCATTGATAGTTATTTAAAGATTTATTTATTTGAAAAGCAGAGTTAGAGAAAGGCAGAAACAGAGAGAGAGAGAGAGTCTTCCATCTGCTAGTTCACTCCCCAAATGGCCACAATGGCCAGAGCTGGGCCAGTCCGAAGCCAGGAGCCAGGAGCTTCTTCTGGGTCTCCCACATGGGTGCAGGGGCCCAAGGGCTTGGGCCATCTTCTGCTTTCCCAGGCCATAGCAGAGAGCTGGATCAGAAGAAGAGCAGCCGGGACTCAAACTGGTGCCTATATGGGATGTCAGCAGTGTAGACGGCGGCTTTACCCACTATGCCACAGCACCGGCCCTATTGATGGTTCTTTTAAGCCCTGTGCTCATGGTATACGTATTAACAATACTGATGACGATAGCTGCCATCCATTTTGGGCCTACTGTGCAACAAGCACTATGCTGTTGTTGGCATATGCCTTTCAATGTTAATTATATGCACAACCTGAAATCTGTTATAAGTGTATTGAAGGTCAGGCACTGACCAAGCACTGCCACAAGCTCACCCTAGTAGATACCTTTTTTATTGTATTGATATTACTGAAATCTGCTGCACGCTAGATTTTCAGGTCTCAAGAATTTTTTAATTTTTAAAAGATTTATTTATTCAAAAGGCAGTGACAGAGAGAGAGAGAGAGAGAGAAACACTTTGATCTGCTGGTTCACTCTCCAGTGGCCACAATGGCCAGGGTGGGCCAGGCAAAGCCAGGAGCCTGGAACTCCATCCTGGTCTCCCACATTGGTGCAGGGACCTAAGCACTTGGCCCATCTTTTTCTGCCTTCCCAGGCGTATTAGCAGGGAGCTGGATCAGCAGCAGAGTAGCTGGGACTTGAACTACCACTCTGATATGGGTTTTGGGTCACAAGCTGCAGCTTAACCCAGTGTACCGCAATGCCAGTCCTGGAACTGAATGGATGACTGTTTGGATAAATTCCTTGCTATCCAAATTCCTGCTACTCAGTGTATGAGATTCAGAAGCCCTGTGATCCCCCAGCTTGGGATATGACTAGATTGGATATATATTTTCAGATAAACCCCTTGCTGTTAACTCATTTTGTCAAAATCGTTTTGAAGAACTCATTGTCACACACTGTCTGAACTTGGGAACCGAGTAGATATGGATAACGTTTTGATGAACCCCTGTTAACTCTGAAGCCAGATGGGCTTGGGTAACAGTATAACTCATCATCTGAACCCAGAAATAGGCTAGATAAATAAACGTCTCGGTCAGTTCCCTAATACAGAGACTTGGGTTTGGAATGCGATACTTCACATGTCTGCTGACGCACACGTGTCTTCCACGTGAGGTTCGTGGGAATGTGAATGCGTCTCTCTCCAGACCCTGACTATATGGAAAGAACTTCCCTGGTCTTAACTGCTCTGCTCTTCTCCCTTGTTCTGCCAGAACCAGAGGAAGAGATCATTGCTGAGGACTATGATGATGACCCTGTGGACTATGAGGCCACCCGGTTAGAGGGGCTGCCACCAAGCTGGTACAAGGTGTTTGACCCATCCTGGTGAGCCTGGGAACCTTGGGGCAGGGCTGACTTCTGACTTTGCCCTTTGTGTGGGATATATCAGGGCACGGGAAGAGACCTGGAGGTACTTCCTGTGGGGTCCTGACATGGGACAGGTATAGGCAGAGGCCAGGGTGGAGTTGAGGGTACAAAGACAGGACATCTGGGCTGACGCTCCTTCCCTCTCACTGCACCCCTCTTCCCCCAGTGGTCTTCCTTACTACTGGAACGTGGACACAGACCTCGTGTCCTGGCTGTCCCCACATGACCCCAACTCCATCGTTACCAAATCTGCCAAGAAGCTCAGGAGCAGTAATACAGGTGAGCTGGCAGAGCCAACGGGGCCTCCGCTGCTCCTAGCGGTTCTTACAAGGCGCTGAGTAAATGATAGAACCCGTTAAGGAGGGGCTGGTGACGTTGTCAAAGGCTGAGGATCCTGGCTCCTGGGGTGGCAAGAAGTGGTCACTTTAAGACTTCCATGTTCTGACTGGCGTCGCAGCTCACTAGGCTAATCCTCTGCCTGTGGTGCCAGCACACCGAGTTCTAGTCCCAATTGGGGCGCCAGATTCTGTCCCAGTTGCTCCTCTTCCAGTCCAGCTCTTTGCTGTGGCCGAGGAGGGCAGTGGAGGATGGCCCAAGTGCTTGGGCCCCTACACCCATGTGGGAGACCGGGAGGAAGTACCTGGCTCCTGGCTTCGGATTGGCACAGCGCCGGCCTTAGCGGCCATTGGGGGGGTGAACCAATGGAAGGAAGACCTTTCTCTCTGTCTCTCTCTCACTGTCTATAACTCTACCTGTCAAAAAAATAAAAAAATAAAAAAGACTTCCATGTTCCATGAGGACTAGTGTTGTGGTGCAGCAGGATAAGCGGCTACTTGCGATGCCAGTATCTCATATGAGTGCCCGTTCAGGTCCCAATGGCTCCATTTCTGATCCAGCTCCCTACTAATGCACCTGGGAAGGCAGCAGCAGATGGCTCAAGTGCCTGGGCCCTTGACATCCACGTAGTAGAAAAGGACACAGTTCCTAACTCCTAGCTTTGGCCTGGCCCAGCCCCAGCCATTGCAGCAATTTGGGGGGTGAAGCAGCAGATGGAAATACTCTTTGTTTCTCTCTCTTCCCCCTCTCCCTCCCTCTCTAAAGTTCTGCTTTTCAAATAGGTACATAAACCTTTTTCTTCTTTTTAAGAAAAAAAGACTTTCGTGTCCCCAGAAGCTGAGGAGAAGCTGGACCGGGCCCACGACAAGTCGGACCGGGGCCATGAAAAGTCAGACCGCAGCCACGATAAGTCAGACCGCAGCCACGATAAGTCTGACAGAGATCGTGAGCGTGGCTATGACAAGGTAGACAGAGATAGAGATCGGGATCGGGATCGGGACCGGGACCGGGACAGGGACCGTGGCTATGACAAGGCAGACCGAGACGAGGGCAAAGAACGGCGCCACCACCGCCGGGAGGAACTGGCTCCCTACCCCAAGAGCAAGAAGGGTAAGCTGGGCAGACTGAGACGGGTTTAGCAAGCGATGCACCATGGAGCATAGCCATCGCCTGGGTGTGTGCCTGAGCCTGGGATCCCAGGGAAGGGTGCTGTAGGCCATGGCAGCCGCAGGCTCCTGGGATAGGGGTTCCTGAGGATCAGGGGCTCCTGTGCCCCATCAAAGACCTGGCACTGCTGCTTGCTTCTACAGTAGCAAGCCGAAAGGATGAAGAATTAGACCCCATGGACCCCAGCTCCTACTCAGACGCACCCCGGTAATTAACGACCTCTCCCTGAGCCCTTCTTTTCCCTCCCAGCTCTGACTGGACCCCTGCCCTTGTCCCCCATTCCAATCCTACTTTCTGTCACCTCCAGGGGCACGTGGTCAACAGGACTCCCCAAGCGAAATGAGGCCAAGACAGGAGCAGACACGACGGCGGCCGGGCCCCTCTTCCAGCAGCGCCCGTACCCATCCCCTGGGGCCGTGCTCCGGGCCAACGCTGAGGCTTCCCGAACCAAGCAGCAGGACTGATCCTCTGCCTTCCTGAGCCCTGGACAGGGCTTTAATTAAAGCTCTTCTGAGCACCTGCATGAAGTTTCCGTGCTTCCTTACCTTGTTCTTTTGAGGTTTCCTGACCCATGCCCACAGGATGCAAAACACATTTTATTTGCAAAAAGTCACCTAAGAAATACTGCTGGGGGCGGAGTGGGGGCGGGGGCTGAGGTGGGTCATCAACAGAGAGAGCTTCTTCAGGTAAGCCCTGCGTGCGGGAGGGGGTGGTGGGACAGGGAGTTCTGTGTCTGCCTCACCCTGCCCCTAATACTGATCAGTCTGGTCCCAGCTGGGCCAGGGCAAGAAGGGAGAACGAGGCCAGGCCAAGCAACGTCTTCGATCCCGGTGGCTACGAACCCTTCACCTTGGTGAGCAACCTGTGGTGGGAATGGGGAGGAAAGAGAAACAGAAAAAGCTGGGGTGGGCTGGCAGGAGGGTCTTCTGAGCAAGCGAGGGTGGCAGGAGTGAGGCTGGTAGTCCTGGGGTTAGTAATGGTGCCTAGGCGAAGAAAGCGGGCCCCCTGGGTCAGAAAGCTACACATGGACTAAATAAATACAACATCTTTATTTGGCATTGGGTATCCTGACATTTTTTTTTTTCATTACAGTTCCTTAGAAAACAAACAAAAAAAATCAAAACAAATTAATCAAAAATAAAGATTCAATGGCCATATTTACAAATAGCAGAGCCAACCCGGGCATCTCCCATGCGCGCACTGATACCCCTGCCCCCCAGGACATGGTTAAGGGGTTAATAAGCTTTGGGGAGTGCAGGAGGCGGGTTCCATGGGTCTTACGGTTCTAAGACCCCTTCCCCCACAGAGCAAAGGTATCTCCTGCAGCCAATGGGGTACCCAGAGTGTGCCTTGGCAGCTTTATTTGCCCTCTCTGGGTGACTTCCGCAAATAACCCTGCATCCAGCAGCTGCCAGTGTCTTTCATTCAGTGAGTGAGTCACTTCCAGGACTGCCCCTCCCCACTTTTCCCCACTACCTGGATCGTTGTTGACCTCATTACACCACAAACCCCAAACCTGCTAACAAAACAAAACAAAAACAAAGGTGGCCCTGCTGCTGTGTGGCCTCCCCCAGACGCCCTGATGTCAAAGTCTCAGCTTTCGCCTTTTTCTCGTGTCCTGGATACTCGAAAAAGGCGTTCAGCTGCAGGGAAGACCGCACAAAAGCCAGAGCTCCTAATATGATCCGGCAGGGCTTGGGGGGGGGGGGGGAGAAGGCCTCGAACAATGAGAAACTGAACCCCACAGGATAGGCATTAGTCATCGCCGAAGAGCTGCACAGGTTTTGTCCAGTTTGTCCTTACAAATGTGGAGGGACTGCTGGGAGGGTGTCTCCCAGGCACGGGCCACAGGACACCTCCAGCAGAGGGTAACAGAAAAAAAGGCCTTGAATGACAACATTCCCAACCCTGTCCTTCAAAAAGGCCAGACTGGGGCAGAGAAGGCAGCTCTAAACATGGCCCCCCCTCCGCCCAGGGGAGGAAGGGTTCACGAGATACCTGGCCCTCCCACAACCCCTCTGGAAGCCACAACAACCTGGGAGAAAAGACCAAGGTGTTCCAACCCGAGAGGAGCCAGGCCCTGGAGGTGACTTGGGTCCTGCAGATGCCCATCACCCTCCACCCCAGCCCCCCTCCCTCTCTGCCCCCCGCCGCCTCCAGCCCTCACTTCACCAGCACTGACTTCGGTAGAAAGGGCTCCGTGACGAGGTCTCCACGGTGGGAAGACAGCTGCGGCGGCGGTGGCTGCCCCGGAGGCTGCTGCTGAGTGCAGGGCCCGGAGGCAGAGGCAGAGGAGGCAGAAGCTATGGCTTTGGCTGCACCTCGGGGAAGGCTGTAGAGGTAGACGGCACCGATGACGAGCCCAGCGCCAAGGGCAAATAATGGGTCCAGTTGGAAGCCAAAGAGGCGAATGGAGGCAACAGTGGACAGCACAATGGACAGGGAGGTGGCAAAGCCCTTGAGGATGTTGTCAGCATACTTGACAACGACAGCCACCAGGAGCCCACCGAAGGCCTGGTTGAGCACCACACCCCAGACGGCAGGTGTATACCCAAAGAAGAAGCCGCGGTGTGCCACAGCGGTGCCCTCAGCCCACCAGAGCCCCACCAGGCCCAGGGCTGTGCCGAAGAGGCCCAGCTGCAGGTTGCGCAGCCACACGGAACCTGAGCTGCCTTTGAGGATCTTCTCAAAGTAGACGCCTGCAAAGCCCGAGGAGAGACAGGAAGCCACAACAGCTGCAAGGCCTGCCCCGGGGTTCTGATCCAGTGGCCGTGGGCCGCCCCCACCAGCTTGCTGTGCCTGGACAATGGCGACCCCAGTGAAGAGGAGCAGCAGGGAGGCCCACTGCAGCCGGGAGAGGCTGCGGTTCAGCATGAGCACTGAGAACAGTGCCGTGGTCAGGATCTTCAGCTGGTACGTCACCTGCAGTGGCATGTGGAAGACAGACACTGAGGGCTGGCCCTGACCCCCAACAAGTGTATGTGGTGGGGAGGGGCTGGGCAGCACCCACTGTGGGTCCCCTGAGCACAATGGAGGGACGCGGTGGGGTAGATGATAGTAAAAACAGCACAAAGAGCCAGCCATTGGCTGGGCTGTGGCTAAACAGCTCAGAGGTCCCTTCCAGAAAGTGCACAGAAGAGTGGCTGGGCCAGAAAGTGCCACACTGTGCCCAAGCCCACATCCCAGTCCCATCTCCTGGCTACGTGACCAGGGACAAACCACTTGACCTGACTCAGCTCTGGGGACACCATCTGCAACACGCAACCGATGAATATAAACTAAGGGCTCACAGGAGGTGATGGACAAACGGCAGGCTTTGTGATGGGAGGAGGTCTTGATGCAATTCAATCTACCACAGCAGTAATGTCAGCCAATATTTACGGCGTGTGCCCGTGTGGGTCCGTTCATATATGAGTTCATTTAATCTTCATAACCGCCATGTCAAGTGGGCACCACTGTAACCCCCAATTTAAAAATGAGCAAACTAAGGCACAGAGGTTAGGTGACTTGCCCAAAAGTCAGGCAGCTGTTAAAGCAGCAGAGCTGGTTAGAATCTGGGCTCTGTAACCATCTCGCAAGGCTGCCTATGAAGAGCCTACAGCTTATCCACCACCAACTGCGATCTCTTCCCAGCTGCTCTTTCTTTCAATAGTCCTGACACTCCAGTGAGCAGGCAATGTGGTTTCCACTGCCAAGCCTCACAGAGGAGGAATCCCAGGTTGAGGGAATTCCAAGGACATTCCAAAGGTGACACAGTCACAGCCATCCCATATACCCCAACCCAGCCAGTTCCTGTGGGGCCATGCTGGGCTTGGAGCTCACCTGGAAAGTGGCCGCTGGGAGATTGGAGATGGCAACGTACTGGAGGTTGTTCTGCAAAGTGTAGATGAGGGAGGGCACCGCAAGCTTGAGCGTGTCCACGTACTGCACCAGGACAGCCTCGTGGAGGAAGAGAACCAGGTGTTTCACATTACCTAAGTGGGGGGAGGACAGCCCTTTGTAGCAAAGCACTGACTACCCAGGATGAGGGTCCCCTGAAGGCTCCCTGGGCGCTGGGATGACGTTTGTGCTGTTTTCCCGACAGTGAGCCTTTCTATGATCCATTTAGTGACCACAAAAGAACCATCCACGGCAGGCACTTGGCCTGGCTGGGTAAGATGCCCACATCCCACACTGAAGTGCCTAGGTTCTGGGTTTGATACCCAGTTCCACTGCCGACTCCAGCTTCCTGCTAATGCAGCAGGTGATGGCACAAGTAGTTGGGTCCCTGCCACCCACGTGGGAGACCTGGACTGAGTCCCTGGCTCCCAGTTTCAGCCTGGCACAATCCAGGCTGTTGCAGGCATCCAGGAAGCGAACCAGCCCAGCAGATAGGAGCTCTGTGTTTATCCCTCTGCCTCTGAAATAAATATTAAAAAAAAACCTCATCCATAACACTGTGTGTGCTCATCACAGACCATGCTTCACTCACCCTAGAGCCAAACTCCCTGGCACAGAGCCCCATCCAAGGCAAGCCTGCGTTGTACGATGAAATAATTGTCATTCACTAGAAGCAGATGCCAAGGCTGGAAGTTTCAGACTAGTCTTTTACCCTAGCTCCCTACAGCCCCGTGAGCAGCCTTGAGACAGGGCCACCTCCTACTCAGTCCCACTTGTCAGCCCTACACACACCAAGCACTTGTCTCTGCTGCATGGATGGATGCAGCCTGGACCCCAAAGCTCGAGTCTGGTTGGGACCACTTCAGTAAGCAACTAAGAATCACGGTCTATGCAATAAGGCCTTTGCAAAGCTCACCCCGGGTTTCTGCAGTTTAGGTCTCAGCTGAGGGCTTTCCTAGGGGAAAACCTCCAGAGCCACTGCACTGGTTATCCCGGCAGTTTCCACTGGTGCTCATTCACAAAGCCCTGCCCTTGCCCTCCACGGCACTACTCCCAGGTCAGAGCCGCACAATTCACCTCTGTGCTTTAGTACAAGGCCTTCACAGAGAAACAACTGGGCAACATTTCCAAGTCAGAGGGCCTCCTGTTCAAGTTAGTAGGTGAACCCAGCTCCTAACCTAAAGGAAACATAGAAGCCAGCGCTGTGGTGTAGCAGCTTAAGCCTCTGTCTGCAGTGCCGGCATCCCATATGGGCTCCAGTTCAAGTCCTGGCTGCTCTACATCCAATCCAGGGCCCCCTGAATGCGCCTGAGCAAGCAGCAGAACATGGCCCAAGTCCCTGGGCCCCTGCACCCACGTGTGAGACCCGGATGAAGTTCCTGGCTCCTGGCTTCAGCCTGGCCCAGCCCTGACCATGTGGTCATTTGGGGAGCGAACCAGCGGATACAAGATCTCTCTCTCTCTCTTTCTCTCTCTGTATCTCTGCCTTTCAAATAAATAAATAAATCTTTCAAAAAAGAAGTATCCAATAAGCTTTTTACCACAAAATTGTTTAAAAAAAAAGGGGGGGTTGTCGGGAAACCCAGCAATTAAGCTAAAAAGACACAACCGATTTCAGAACACTGGCCATGTACAAATTTCTTAAAACTTTTATGACATTTAAGAATCCCTACCAATTTGAACACTGCTCGGACACTAGCCATGAGCCCATGCTCATTAGTGCATCTGGGGGCTGGGGACAGGGCTATCTTGTTATTTTATTCTTCTTTCTGATTTGGTCTATGTTTGGAATTCTCTGCAATGGAACAGGAGGTAAATCCATGGCCACACAACAGGTGCCCGTTGCCTTACGGGTACAGACTCGCTCCTACAAGTGCCCAGAGGCCAGCTCGCAGGCTGTCAGGGGTGTACCACCGTACGGAGCGTACAGCTGCAGCCACTCCCAGCTGCAGGGACGAGGGAGCAGGTTCACAGACGCGGAGATCCTCCCCCAGAAAACCCTCCACACGGCCTCCCTCCCCAGCTCATACCCCTCTTCTGGGCGAAGAGCAGCAGCAGGCAGGTGAGGCCCTTGAGCACTTCGGCCATGACCACAGCGGTGGTGGCAAAGAAGCGGTCCCCAGGCAGCGTGCGGGCATAGCGGATGCTGAGGATGAGGGAGGCGTTCTGGACCACCAGCACAGCTAGGGATATGTACTTGAGGCGTCTGTGAGCTGTGGGGGGTGGGAGGGGCAAAAGGGGAAGGATGAGGTGAGAAGCTTCCTGGGCACAGCCACCCAACACCCCCCACCCCCCACCCCCAACCCCGTCTCCTTGCTCAATCACCACCCTCCTAGCCAGCGCCACGTCCTCCCTTGGCTTACCCACACTGACCCAATGAGGGTCTCACCTCTATCTGCTTCCACTGGAAGAGCCAGAAAAGGAGAAGTGGGGTCTGCACTGTCCCAGCCTATACCTGGAATCCTTGCTGAGTTGCCAGGAAATGGCAAGGGCAGGCCCTGGACACTCCACTTGGTTCCCTCTGTCCCTCCCCAGAGAGAGAAGCAATCCCTCCCCCCAGTCAGAATCGCATCGACCACATTCTCCACATGTACTCATTGCTGGGTGCCTATCACTGGGTTCGGGGACTTACACTGATGACCTCAACAGACTTAATAATGCTTTCCAAGTGAACCATGGAAACATGCATTTTACGCAGGCGCAACCCAAAAGTTCTTATGAAATGCCCCTACTTAACCAGGGGCTGTGCTACGGAAAGCCTAACTGCCCACAATATCCTCCTCACGCTCAGAATGACTGATTCCTCCTAACTCAAACTAGTCCCACACACAAGGAATGATTCCTCGACTTCCCCAAGGACTGAACCTCCTCTGATGAATGGTTGGCTACCATGTAAGAAAATACTTCCCTACGCTGGCCCCCCTCCACTCCCACCTCCCCAGCCAAGAAATTGCCCCTTGTTCTACCCACACCCACAGTGAGCTCTCTCTGATATGAGGAAGAACCTGGCACCCTCAGGAGCTTCTTCCTCCAGCAAGTCAGGGTGGATCCTCCCAGCTCCACATACATTAAACCACTTCCACCACGTAGGGACCCCCCCTCCCCGGAATGGTCTTCTCTCCGTACAAGGATGGGCATTCCCATCCTCAAAATGGGTCCTAAGTCACAGAAGGAAGGAGCCAGCCCCACCCTGACAATTTATAAGGGAGGAGGCACCAGGCTCAAAGAGTCTCTCCCTTCTATAAGGAAGAACTCTCACACCCTCAGAACGGTCCCCTCCCCTCCATAAGGAAAGACTACACACACACACTCCCAATGCTCTCGGTGGCCTTAGCCGTCCCCCAAAGCAAACACCTTCCACCCTTCTCAGGGTCTCTACTCTCCAGAGATGGTTGGACTCCCCAGTCACCCTGAGAATGGGTTCTTCCCCGCCCCCAACACGCGCACAATGGTCTTCTCTGTCCTCCCTCCCCTACACACACACACACACACACACACACACACGTCGATCCACAGGGAATGCTCCGCTTCACTTCAGGCGCCCCCGGCGAGCCTGACCTCCGCCCCGCCGCCGACTGCTCGGCCACAGCCCGTCTCACCCGCACTCGCTGTCCCAGCTGCCAACGCCCCCGCGGAGACCGCCCCCGGTCCGGCCGCCGCTGTGGAACCGCCAACCCCAACCGCTGCCATGTTGGCATCTGCCCGGCCCGTCCCCTCGGCAACAGCAGGCCACTTCCGTGTCTGGCACTTCCGCTTCCGGGCCAGCGGAGTGGATGTGGGGTGAAGTGCCGGACAGGTAGGGTCGTTGTCTTGCTTCGTCCGCTCTTAAATGCTGAATCTAAGACAAAGGCCCCGGGATTCTCAAATTCCGTCGGGCCGGGAGGCCGAGCACGCAGCCAGTTTGGCCTCCGGTCGTCTTTACGAAGACGGGGCCTCATCGGCCCAATCCTGCGGCCGGACCCGCCCTCGTCTTCCAGTTCGTCTGCTTTATTGATCCTCTTCCCACAACACCCGCCCACCCTGCCTCCTGCTCCCATTGGCTCAGCCTCTCCCATCTCGCTTCAACAGAACCCGCCCCAGCGGGCCCCGCCCTTCGCGTCAGAAACACCCAGGTCCTTTCCTAGTTGAACGGAAGTTCCTCTTTCCCCGCCCAGTGAGGCCCCGCCCCTGGGAGCCTTCGGGCATCTGGCAGGGATGACACAGGGCGCGGGGGCCGGTGAGGAGTGCTGGTGAGACATCGCGTGGGGGGCAAGGGAGGGTCGTGCAAGTGACGTAGCAGATGGAAGCAGGGCAGTTGCGGATATAGAAATGAGAAGGCAAGAGAACTTTGAGACCAAAGACGGGAAGACAAGCTTTTGAGTCACTATTGAGGACGGAAGAGAAATGAGATGGGGCCGGGTGAGAGGTTCCCAGGTTGGTTGTTGGCTGGCATTTGAAAGCCGAGCAGGAGAGGGGCAGCTTGAGATCTCAAAGATACCATAGGGCAGGGCAGGTAAAGTCAGGAGAGAGAAGAGGAAAGACAAGGGCAAATATAGGTGACTACACCCTGGACGTTGTAGGCAAACAAGGAAGAGCTAGAACATTCCTTGATCAGCGCCGAGCCTCACCCTCACCAGCCCAGAAAGGGCTTTTCGCCAACAGGGAAGAAGTACCTTTCCTCCCGTTGGAGACGAAGTAGTTCTGTCTCTTGGAGCAGGCCGTCTTGGACTGAGAATGCGTGTACCCTAACTCCAGTGGGCTCAGCCCTTCTGCATATACTGAGTGCTACATAAGGGTTGGGGGCAGGCAGGTGGAGTCAGGAACTGCTCCTTTTTGTGGCCCAGCTTACACGAACCCGCAAAAGCTCTTTAGGATGGCACTGTAGGACTGAGGCTTCCCAAGGCCAAAGGGAAAGTCCAATCCATCCCCACCCCCACCCCCCTTGTCTCAGCAGACAATAAATGCCCCACAGATGTCTCGCATGTACAAACGGCCAGGTGCTTTGGAGTCTATTACTTTTATTAAATAGTGAGTTTCCACACATGGCTTTTTAAATAATCCAGGCAGGGGGAGAAGGGAGAAGAGGGCACACTTGCGACTCCCCACCGCCCAATACATAAGTATTTACATTTTAGCAACTGGATAATCCTGGCTCAGGAGGAGGCAAAAGGTGGAGAGGGTGCCCCAAAGAGAACACTCAGCACGACTCATTTCCCCAGCCCATCTCCCAAGAAACCAACTGTGCCGTCCTAGTGTCTGGTGGTGTCTGGTGGTATCCATCTGCCTTCCTTCCCAGATCATGGGAGTAGGTTGTTCTCACCAGAATAAGAGCACTTGGGATAACAAAGTAGGGTCCCATCACCAAAACCAAAACCAAAACCAAACAAAACAGAGAGAGAGCGCGCGCGCGCGCACGCACGCACCCTGGGATAACAATTGGGCATTACCTCCCCCAGAATCAGCAATCCTGGGCTGAGGTAGGTGAGCAGCTTGACCCAACAGAGGACCCCAGGCTGGGGAAAGGGTCCCTTTGCTAACTTCAGAGCTGCTGGGGCACTGACAGGAAAGCACCCTTTGCCCACGTAAGAGCATCTGAACCAAGTGTGTGTGGTGGTCACAGGAGGTACCCGTACGGGGCTAACAACTCAGTAGAATGAAGAGTCTTGTGCCTCAGAATGGAGTGAATTTCAACCCAATCAACACCCCTAGCAAAACAAGAAGCAAGGAAGTCCCTCTCTTCAGAACAAGGGGCCATGGGTCCTGGGAGAGAGGCTCCTTCACAGGACTGGGATGGGGACTGGGCAGACCTGGCTTGTCTTCTGACCCCGGGGACCCCCCCCCCGTCCCCCCGACTTTAGTAACACTGGATTGTTAGTGACCTGTAAAACCAGGTCAACAGATGTCCGTCTATCCCTGTGGCATGGCCATGGGATGGCTATTATGGTCACTAGGGGGGCCTGGCCAGGACTAGGGCAGCAGGGACCAGGCCAAGGGGGAGGGACCTCCTTTGGGGGGGTTGAGGGGTGCATCTTCAGCTGGTGTTTGCATCCAGGGGTCCAGCAGGATCTCCTCCAGTGACGGTCGGGAAGAGGGTTTAGGGGCCAGGCACCGGCGGATCAGGGCACAGCAGTCTGTGGGTCAGGAAGTACAGGGGGAGATTAGCAGTCAGTAGGGGGATCGCACCTAGGTCCCCGGGAAGGGTGGAGTCTTGCCGGGCTGGGCTGAGGGAGGCCTCACCTGGGGAGACATGACCCGGGAAATGGAGTTCAGCCTCCAAAATCTCCTGGTCCCTCTCGAAGGGAATGTCCCCACACACCATGTCATAAAGGAGGATGCCCAGGGACCAGACAGTGGCCGGGAGCGCGTGGTACTGGTGTCGGGAGATCCACTCCGGCGGGCTGTACACCCTTGTCCCTGCAAACAAGCGGGGGAGGGGGGTCAGACTGCTCTCTGTCGATCCCCCTTTCCCACCCCCATGTTCCCCAGGAAGTACTGTCCCCTCAACTAGAATAGTAGTGCTTTAAATAGAACAAAATCCCATCATCAGAACCCCAGCAGCAGAATTAACAGCAATGTTTCCTCACCAGAATAAAACCACTTATAAGTAGCTGTAGGATCTCTTTATCAGAAAACACACACACACATAGACATACACACACACACATATACTCTCAGAGTAACAACAGGACCCCCCCACACACACACATAACCCAGAATAAGCCCTAAACAAGGTTATGGCACGGTTGAAACATGGACTTTATCAAAGGACACCAAGTCTTGAGAATCCCCAGTATTAGAAATAAAGAACAATCCATAGGTGTAACATAGGTTAAGGGTTACAGGACAGAGACAAGAGGTCACAAGGTCATAAAATCACAAGCACACACACACACCCCCAGCCTCACCATCAAACTCCCCCCCAGCCTCACCATCAAAGTCAGTGTAAGGTTCATCATGAAGCAGGGCACCCGAACCAAAATCGATGAGCTTGGCGCAGCCCCGGCGTAGGTCTATCAGGATGTTCTCGTCCTTGATGTCACGGTGGACGACTCCACGGGCGTGGCAGTGTTGGACAGCTGCCACCACCTGGCCAAAGAAGCTGCGGCTTCGGCCTTCCCCCAGCGGGCCCTTCTCTGTGATGTAGTCAAAGAGATCCTGGGCCGGCAGAGGCCGCTCGAGGACCAGCATGAAGCCCTCAGGTGTCTCAAACCAGTCGAGCAGGCGGATGACACCAGGGTGCCCACCACCTGCACACACCTTCCAGAGCAGTGCCACTTCGAGGGGGCATGAGACTGAGTCGGACTGCAGGTGCAGGTTGGGTGGGGAGCAGAGAGAGAAAAGAGAAGGCAGAGGTCAGGCCAACAGCTCTGAGGCCAACTTCCGGCCTAAGCTCCCATCCTAGCCAACTATGGCCTTAAGCAACCCATTTGCCTTCCTGGGGCTGTTTCCTCATCACTGGGGCACAAACCCCCATGGCCATTGAAGGGCCAATCAAGCAAAGAGCCTACGCACATCTGGCAGGTAGGACGAGCTCAGGGAATAGTTGCATAAATAAAAGTGGTTCCCAACAAAAGGGTCCAGCAGCAGCAGCAGCAGCACTATGATGTAATACGGTCCCTGTTCTGTCTGCTGACACATCCAAAGTGATTAGAAGAGCACCTTGCATACAGTAGGTACTCAATAAATGCTTTCTAAACAGATGAAAGCACTTTATAGCACAAGGTCTGACATGAAGCTAGTGCCGTATAATGGTCAGTTTTGTTTGCTGACATATCGCAAACATTAGAACAGTAACCTTTAACAGGGTAGGGTTTGGGTTTGATAAATATTTGCTAAACATGTGAAAGCACTTAGTAGAAAAGGACTTAGCACAAAATGAGCGCTCAATAAACATTATGTAATATTTTGCCAAGGGCCTAGAATTGTGCCCAGCATACAGAAGCTACTCAATATATAATTGTTAAGATAGCTCAAGGTGATTAATTGCAAAGAACCTGTCAACAAGCTCCATAAATGTGCTCATGAGATATTTTGCTAGTCACTAAGTACCCAGAACCACTCAAGAACAGGTATAAATGTTAACTGGTAGAGTCGGCACTGTGTATAGTAGGCTAAGCCTCCACCTGCAGTGCCAGTATCTCATATGGGTGCCGGTTTGTGTTCTGGGCGCTCCTCTTCTGATCCAGCTCTCTGCTATGGCCTGGGAAAGCAGTGGAAGATGGCCCAAGTGCTTGGGCCCCTGCACCCATGTGGGAGACTCAGAAGCTCCTGGCTCCTGGCTTCAGATCAGCTCAGCCCTGGCCATTGAGGCCATTTGGGAAGTGAACCAGCAGATGGAGATCTCTGTCTCCCCCTCTCTCTGTAACTGTATCTCTCAAATAAATTTTTTTTAAAAATCTTACAAAAAAAGCCCTGTTAAAAAACGTTAACTGGCCTACCCACCCACCTACTCTAGAAACCGCACACAAGCACATGGTGACTGCGAGCCCCAGGCATCTTTGCCTAGTAGTGGGGCCCTCTGCTGGCCAGGCCGCGTACTTGCACAGCCGCAGACAGGCTTTCTCACGGTGATGCAAAATCCGCTATCGCGCAGGCGTCCCCTATGCCTCCGGGTCCCACGGGCTGCGCAAGCGCAGTCTCCCGTTAAGCCCGCCAGAGGGCGCTCCCGCATCTACAACTTGCCTAGACCCGCCCAGATGTCCGTTAGCGCTCAAAAGGCAGGAGAGAAGCAGCCACCATCTCCATGGCAACCAGTGACCTCTGCCCTTCTTTCCCCACCAGCATGCCTCGCGGGCAACCCTCGAGGCAATGTTCGGAAGGAGCATAAGAAAGGCGAGTTGGAGGGGAGAATCCGGGGCTCTATGGGGAATCGGGGTGACTCAGAACTGTGGGGTGACTCAGAACTGTGCATCACCCCAAGGGAGTAAACATGGGCTGACAGAAGTGTTCTCTTCACCGTTACAGGGTCCAGGGAGCAACACACCTCCTCTGCCCCCCAGGAAAAAAGCAATGGAGTGAGTTTATCAGTGGATAGGTCAGAAGTACATCAAAGATACTCACCAAGGAGGACCAGCCCAACACACGATTCCGAGGGATCACTTTGATGGCCACCTGGAGAAGAGGGCCACGATATGAGAGCCAGCAGATGAGCCCCATGTCCCTCCCAATCTATACCTTGTGCCCACCTCCAGTGTCCCTCCATCGGCCCCTAACCTTTCCAGTCACCAACCACACTAACACGACCCACACTAAGTCAGGGTTTTCCCCCTGGCCTCAAAGTCTCCAGAACCAAGTTCACCTCTGCCATCATCCTTAGCCCTGAGCTCTTCCTCCTCAGGCATCGGGACCCCTCAGTCTAGGTCCTGAGTTCTAAATGTCCAGCCTTCCCAAGCCCTCAATTTTCCCACCCACAGCCAAGTCACCCCAACTCTGTACCGGGGTCTTGGTCCTCACACCAGACACCTCCCTCCAAAATCACAGTATCTCAGCTCTAGGTCCCCACCTTCCAACATATACATATATCCTCATGACCCCCCATTTCGCAGTGTAATTCCCTGGACATCTAAAATCCCCGCCATGAAAACCCTTACCACCCCCGCCCCCGCCACGCAGCATACCCACCTGGATACACACACATCCTTGCAACCCGGGATCCTGATCCTCATCATCCTACTATACACATTGCAGGCTCCCACCGCGGTCAAACAGCATCCAAGCCCCAAGCTCCCCCTCCCTCTCCACACCTACCCGACACCCTCTCGAGACCCTCATGGTGAATACCTGGAGTCGATCTGTGACGCGATGTCCCGCGAAGACCGTGCCAAATCCCCCCTTACCCAGGAGGGGGCCAAGTCGGTACTCGGCCTCGAACGCTTCCCGATCCTTGCCTCCTACGCAGGCGGAGGCGAGGAAGTCAGGGTGCCGGCATGCTGAGCCCGTCCGCGATTCCCTCCCCCTGGGACCACCAACCACCATTCCAGCCCACCCCACCTGGTCGCGAGAGGGGAGGCTGCGCTCACCTGGTGGCGGCGTGGGGGTCACCGGGGGCGCGGGGAGCCCCTGCAGAGGCTTGGTCAACATGGAGGAGGTGCTGCGCAGATTGAGCCCGCTGAATCCGCTGAGCCCGCAGGGCGTGGACGCCCGGGGCAGGGCAGCCGGGGAGCCAGGGCTGGGGGGCGCCAGGGTGGAAGGCAGGGAAACCGGTGGCCCGGAAGCGTCCGCAGACGGCGCAGCGTTAAGATTCGCCGCGCGCGCCAGCCCCAGTGCTACTGAGCCGGGGCACGCGCCTCCCGGGAGAGTCGCCCTGGGCGACAGCCCCGCCCACCTGGCTTTGATCAATCCGGACGCGGCACCTGCTGTACCCCAGCCAATCGGAGCCAGCCCTTATTTGCATACCACCCTCAACGTTCCAAGAGCCCTCTTTTGCAAAAACACGCCGGGTCCCTCCGCGGAGGCGGGGCCTGAATGCAAATGAGGGGGTGCGAGGTGGGGGGCACACAAAAACAGGTTCTGGGAATCCCTTTGCAACAACTGCGTTTGTTTTGGTCGTTGGGGGGGGGGGGTGATGGGGTGGTGGTTGTTATTGTTGGGGTGTGTGTGCGTGTATGCGTGCACACTTGAAAAACAACTGCGCAGCCTCCTTCCTAAGGAAGTTGGTTTGCCACCGCCGCCGCCACCGCCGCCGCCTCAAGATTAGCGCGGAGATAACACCAGGTTCGGCTTCTAAGAATCTGAGCCTGTGACTATCCAGGACACTGTCGCAAACGGTACTCCAGGACAGGAGTCTTCCAGGCAACGGGCGGCCTTCACTCTCAAACTGATATCCGGACCTTAGAAATGGTCCGGTCGCTAAGGAAGGATTTCCCCCTTCCCCCAACTCCCACCACTGGAGTCATTCTTATCAAATGCGGTGTTCCCACACAAGGAGCTGGTCGCCTGTGGGCTGCTCTTGGAGCCCTGAAAGTATGCAGAACCTGGCTAGACTGCGCCATGGGGCCAGTGAGCAGGTCTGCAATCTAGAACGACAGGGGGTGGTCCTTGGTGGGGGTAGGGCTGCGCTTCCGGGTGAGACAAGGACTGAGAGCCTTGGAAGAGGCTGCCAGAAAAGTGATAAAGCCTCCGCAGACGCAAACTCATGACGTACAGCCAGAGAAGGCCCCATGCCATGCACCCCCACATACACACACGTGCCGCCTGACATACTCATGTCCATTTTCTCGTAACACCTGCAGACATGCACCGTCACATAGGCATGCACTGTCGGGCCAGCACACTCTCGGAGTCATGTCCCAGAATGACACGCAGAATACACTGTTAGAGACAGAATGCCAGAGCCTCATATAGATGTACAGAGCCGTGCGACAAGCATGTCCTGTCAGATACATGGACAGCATTTGTCACACACACACACATCCCCTCAGACATGCACTGTCACAGAAAGACTTGTCCTAGAAATGAGAGACCTAGAGTCTGTCACAGACTGTCTGACACAGATGCTCCTGAGACATACTCCCACGACTCAAAAGGCAGACATGTACCGAGGTGACAGTCACAAACATAGGCAGTATCACAGACACAGACAGACCCAGTAACAGACACATGCACCATCACACACGCAGCCTTGTCACTGCAACACTGTTCAGAAATAGCAACCTGAAATCTGTCACAGGAATACAAACGGACATCATCCCCATCAGACAGAAACTACAGACGCCACTGTCACAGACCAACCCACGCAGACCAGCACGTCTTCAGATATAGACACAAACCGTCAAAGTTCCACCCTCAATCACCACCCTGACACACCTGGAGACAAGTCCCTGCCACACACAACTGGAGACACTGTGAGATGGGACATAAAGACTTGTGTGTCTCCACACACACACACACCAACACCCCCAAAAACCAAATACATACACTCCCACATACTCCTCATTATCAGGGTCTACTATTACCCTCTGGGCCTTGGTAGGGTTTACAGCTCTTAGTGACACGTAAGTAAGGCATCACAGCCCTTGCCCAGCTCACACATATTTGTAGACAGAAGTGAGACTATGAAAGGGGTCACACAGGGCTTCTCAAAAGGGGACCCTCTGCCTTGCAAGACAAATAAGGGGCCGGCTGATCAGTGCCGGTTTTAGTCCCTGTTGCTTCACTTCTGATCCAGTTCCCCACTAATGCACATGGGAAGGCAGTGGAAAAATAGCCCAAGTGCTTGGGCCCCTGCCATCCACGTGGGAGACACGGATGGAGCCTGGCTTCCAGGGTTGCGGCCATCTGGGGAGTGAACCAGCAGATGGAAGCTCACTCACCCGCTCACTCTGTCACTCTACCTTTCAACTAAATAAATATTTAAAAGAAAAAAGACAAATAAAGTTGGCAGCTCAGGACAGGAAAAGGGTAAATTGCAGGCAGAGGCCAAGGAGACTGCACGGGGCGGAAAGAGGTAGGTAGGGGCCCCAGTGGCGCTGACTCCCATAACAGGGTCACTGATAACACCCACGAACATCTGCACTCTCAGAACGTGCCAGGCACTGCGCCTCGCAACACATTATGTTGACCATATACATTTTCCATCAACGCTCACAACCAGAGCGTGCAGGAGGGAGCACATTTATCGTCCTCACCCCTGTATTACAGATGGGGACACTTAAGCTCAAAGAGCCTGTGATTTGAGCAGGGCCACACAGCTCGACAACACTGAGGGGGGCTTCGAAACCACTCTCCAACATACACATGCTTCCCCAGTGGACTAGACATCCTGCAGCCTGCCACTCAGCCAGCCATGCCCTCACCAGTAGAGCCACACATCCTTCCATGGGGACCCCATTACTGAAGCACAGCAAAGAAAAGATATTTGAGAAAACCTAGGGGCCAGCCAGCCTCCTCTGCCTTGGCTTTCTTTACCCCTAGGAGAGGCAGGGACAGAGGTCTCAGAGGACTGACACAAAACCAGATTCAGCCTTCCTCAGCTTCTAAGCCCCACTGGAGGTGGCTCCTCTGATCACGTCCACTGTGTGGACCCATGTTGCCAACCAAGTATCAGTTGTGCTTTTCCAAAGCATCTCATGTCAAGAGTAGCACAAGCAAGAGCAAACATCTATGGCAAGGGAGGCAGGCGGAATTCAGACAGGAAGATGTTTCTGTCCTCGGGCTTGCTCAGTTCTCTGCCCGCATCCCACCCCCAAGAAAGGCGGCGGCCAGCGGGCAAAGACAGCTTGCCTTTTTTTTTTTTTTTTTTTAGGTAAGAGGTCCAGAAGGAGGTTTAATGAGCAGCAAATCACGTGGGAACTCTGGGGCCACCAACAGACCCCTTGTAGAGAGGACTTAGACCTCAGAGAGCAAGCCAAGTCCTGTGCCATGGCCTCCTCCGCCCAGAGGCCTGCCCACCCCCTCTCCCACACAGAACAGAGCCGCTCAGGGAAACTGACATTTGGTTTTATTGTGCCAAGGACATTACAGATGGCGGATCTTGTCAACACCTGCAGGGCACAAGTGCCCAATCTGCCGAGGCTGCTCCCACTCCTTATACTCAAATCCTGGGTGGTGGCCATGATCCCCAGTGATGCCCCCGACTCCAAGATTCCAAGACTTAGTGGTAGTGATGGTGGAAGCAAAAGGAATGCAGCAAGGTCAGGGTCTCATTGTCCAAAGCTGGTCTGACGCCTGCTACTCCCGACCCCTGCCCCAGCTCACACTCCAGGTCCTCTGCCCACCCCCGTGGAGCTGGAAGCCAGAAGACAGCAGAAGTCCACATCTTTGTATCCCCCGTCCATGCCCCATGGCCTGCCTGTCCCCAAACCAGAGATGCCACCTTCACAGAGCCAATGCTGTCGTCTACATTGCTTTTGTTTGGTTGATTTCATAAGATAAAAGTACATTTTAATAAAGAAAAAAATCCAACACTGAAGGCTCAGACATTCTTAGGGTACTGGGAAGGGACATTTCCCACTTCTTCCTCCCACCTGCCTGGCATCACTGAAGGGGGTATGTGACAGGATTTTCTGATCTTGGAAGGAATGAGGAGGGGCAGGGCGACTTTCCTCTGTCTGAATGTCTCTTTCCTCTGGGGCTGCCAGTTGGTCTGTCTCTGTGTCTCTCGCCTACCTTCAGCACCCTTGCCCAAGTCCCCTGTGGAATGCAGGGATGGTGCTGTGCGGGGGGCAACAGGGCACGTCAGCTGGCGCAGAGACAGGTGGTGGTGGCAGCAATGAGAGGAAGCGCATAGGGTCAGCCAGAGGGAAGTGGGGAGGAGGGAGAGGGAAAAGGGGAAGGAGGCAAGAGGGAAGAAAGCCAAAGAAGGCGGGGTGGCACCGGAGGGCAGGAGTTGGGGGGGGTTCGGAGATGGTTCCAGTCCCTGGGTCTCGATCAGCTCTTGTCCGGGGGTGGGTCTCTGTGCACTTTGTTTTTCTTCATACTGTCTAGGTATTCCTGTTGGGACACTGCCAGCACCGAAGCTAGGATCTCATCATCATCCCAGTCATTCAGACCTGCTGGGCAAAAAGAGGAGGAAATGCATTATGAGGCACCCTCAGCCTGCCTTCTCCTCACCTGTGGCTAATCCCCCGGCTCTCCTATTCAGGCTCCTCTCACTCCTTTCTCTATGGAAAAGGCTCCCCTGGGCCTGTGAAATCCCACTTAGCCCCCTTTTGGGACAAATCCCCTAAGCTGAAAAAAAATTCTCTATTATGCCATCTCACTTCTTTACTTGGGGAGACAGCCAGAGGCTCCAGAAGTTCCCTCTTCCAGTCTCCCCCCAATTCCCAGCTGGCCCCTGTCCCCAGAGGAAGCTTACCAAAGGCAGAGGGGGACATCTGCTGAATGAGAGCCCGGCATTCCAGAGCAGGATAGAGGGACACGAGGGGGGAAGTGGCCCGGTCGGCCCCTGCAGAGAACTGACTGCTTGTACCTAGGGCAAATGGACAGTCAGAGGTAGGGCCCAAGGCCCAGGTCCCAGGCAGTGCCTTCTGACCCCAGCATGTGCCCTATAAGCAAGTCACTGACCTGGTGCGCAGGGTGAAGGAGGTTTGGCAAGAGCTAAGACAGTGCCTGGGGAAGGGGGTTTGATGCCTAGCTCGGCGTGCAGCTCAGGGTGCTCGGGGGATGAGGCCGAACTCCGCTGCCGCGGGGACCGACTGGTCCACTCCTCCAGGCCACTGGAGGCTGCTGCTGTGGCTGAACTGCACGTGGCGCTCGCTTTCCGGGGCTGTAGCAGGGGAGGAAGAGCAGTAAGGACTAACACTAGCCAGGACTCTCCTGTGCCCCAGCCCTGAGCGCTCATGCCCTTCCCGGGCCCCTGGCTATGATCAGCTTCCATGCAGGCCTCTGTTAATCCTTTCTCATACCATTACAGCTGTGACAGACAATGAC